TTGGTGTAGTCGATTGCTGAAAATAACTAACAGTAATGCGCTAGTTAGCCTTACTCAACCTTGAAATCAGCTGGAGAAGTCAATCCTTTATGTGTACATATGAAGTGGCGCAGGCGTACTTTCTACAAAGAATCGCTGTTGCTATGTGCATTCAGAAGTTACGCCAGAATTGGCACACGTGGCAGCAAACGCGTGCCAACGGCTGGTTTGCAGCAACTCACCGATTGCCAAGATCTATCGAGGAAAAATTTTGTTTTCAGTTTACCGTTTTTGTTTCACTTTTGCTTACTTGACACAGCCCAGAGATTAGATAAAAAGCACTCAATGCAAGGCTGATGAAAACTAAATTGCATCATATCAGGTGTTTTCCGCATTTATATTTTCGTTTCAGTCTATATGCAGGCAGTACTATGGGAAATAACTGTGCTCATGCGTATGATCGAAATAATAACGCGAGTACATCGCAAACATGCGCATTGTTTTGCAGGTAGAGAAGGCGTGCATGTTTTTAGAGTTGTTTGACGTAGTGACTGACACAATTTTTTTCTCTGCTAAACACAAAAATGGAGCGGAATATACTAAAAAATAACAGATATAGCTGTTATAACTCTGAATAACTCTCATAACTCTGAGACCGATAACTTTGAGAATAACTCTGATACCATGCGCTAAGATTGTGAATATGTGTGAATTACAAGCTTTGTAACTAGGATATGATATTTATTATGTGTTTTATTGTGCGCAAAATATGATGTGTATTTCGGCAGTGATGCTCTCTTTTCTTTTTTTTTCACTAACTTCTCTGTTTAAACTTTATGCTTAGCCATTATGATATATTTGTTGTATGTGCTCTGAAATTATGTGTTCCAGTAGTGAAGGTTCTTTTTCTATGTTTCTCTATGCACTTTTCTGTTTCAACTCCACTCCTGTAATAGCCCGCAAATGGCTGACAGTATCAATAAATGAATGAAAAGCTGAAATGAACACAAGTTAGGAATATACACATTTCTGTTTAGCATGAAAAAGATAACATGGTTGTTGCAAATGAAATCCCATCTTTCTGACGAGAACGTCTTGCGCTATACACGCCGTGTGTCAGAGCATCCGTGGTGACGTGATTTAGATATCCTATTTCAGATATGGTATGCAACATCATTTGTTTTCGTCTTGTTTTTTTTTTGGCTCCGCATATTCAGCCTACTACGCACGAGTGGGAGATGAGACTTGCTCGAATTTCGGAGAACTCTTCCCATAGCAATATACAGCGGAAGCAGACATAAGGCCTCTATATAAGCTAAACCTTACATCCTTCAATGGCCTGTAAACACTTTCAGTGCGTAGACCTCAATAGGGGGTCAACAGGTATGGCTATTTTTCATAATGAATTCTTCATATTTATTGCAAGAATTCAAGCTCTAATACACTAATAGGTTGAACGCGTTCATGTCTGCTTATACATTTCTTTAAAAAAAGTATTTATCTGTGAAACTACTAAGCTGACTATACGCTCGGTTAAGTACGGCTAAGGTTCACATCGGCTAATTTTCTTAACGTGACAACAACGCAGTTGCTGCTCAGAAAAAAATTAAAGAACAAGAGAGACAATATAGAGAGCAATATCCTGTCTCACTTCTTTTTCGGTTTCCTGCTTGCGCATTCTACAAAGAAATACTGCCGTAACTTGGACAAGTATTACGCACACTATGTGTAGGCAACTCACTTTTATGTCACTGAAAATCAAATTCAGTGTGCCTGCTTTACAGGTAGATATCGAGCTGAAAATGTTTTGCTGCTTTCTAGTGTACGGTTTTTGGCCAATGCTCCGAAAGAGTCAGTTGGTTACTCTGATGGCTGTTCCCCTAATTTGATGCATTGAATTTTTCAGTTGGGTACAAAACAGTCTCCACGTTTTCGCATTCTTGACTTTTTTTAACGAATCATGATTTTAGGCAGTTTGATTCGTAATCATACTTTTTCTCGTGAAGAATAAGAACTTCGTGACTAATCCTTCATTAAGAAAGGAATTCTGATATTATCAGATACACTTCATGTCACAGGTTCTTGGCCTTTATGTTAAACTTTCTCAAGCATATTCCGCTTAGCTTACGCTTCTTTGAGCCAAGATTTCTAAAGTATTCGTTTCAAGTGCTGCCCTTACCTAGACCGGCGCTTCAGATAGGTTTACATAAAGAGTCCTTCTGCAAGGAGATGGTTGTAGAAGGAGGAGGAGGAGGAATAAATGAGGAAGAACAGGGAGGTTAGCCAATGGTTGTAGAAGCTGTAGGAAGTGCTCTAGCAGGACGTTTTTTTTTCAATGATTTCAATGATTATTTTGATAATTTGTTATCGGAATTGTACGTTCAATAACAAATAAAATTGAACAAGAGCAGAGATGCTTGCTCAGTGTGCTATTGAGCAAGCAACAGTCGGAAAAACATTACTAAGCCTTCAACTTTTCTAATGAAGGATTAGGGTCACGGGCACTACGGCCGATGTACTGCGCGGCAGTTATAAAAGGCGGAAGCATTTCGCCTTTGAAAGCATTGTCTTTGTCCAAAAAATGATGCGTATATATTCCCAATTAGTTTTTTTGAACCCATGATATCCAATGCATCCAATATTAAAAAAAAAACTCCAGAACATTGTGAGTTGATCGTTCAAGTTTCAAACTACTAATGCTATTTCTTTTCAAGACTGGTCAAATACCAATTCAATCATGCTTGTTATGTCTAAAACAGCTTTTGCTTTCACATCAGAATTGCCGAGAAACAGCATATGCTAATGGTATTTACAAATTGTTTTTCTGAGCTGCACTGAGAACTACACAAGTGGACTTGCCACGAGAAATTTCTTTCTTCACTGTTTTATCACTGGCCTGCTTAAAAAACGCAAATACATCATTTCTTGTTAGCATTGTTCACGTACATTTGTTAGCTTATCTAGGTCTTACAGTGCCATAACGTTTGAGCCAAGTATGCACAATGACCACAAATATGGAGACATGTGACGTACGGAAAGGCCTGTTGGCTTCGAACCTAATGTGCATGTTCTCATATGTGCATAAAAGACAAAGGGCAGCGCAAGGATAGCAGGTGATTCACTTTATAATCCCTATAATAACCCTAAAGTACTGTAGTCGGGCACGCAATGAGTGCGAAGAATATTTACGCGCCAGCTTTGTATCGCTGATGAAGTAAAATCATGATCCAGCTGTCTGACAATGCATATCGTATCACGGTAACATAATTTTGCAACGTTGCCACTATGCAGTGTCAGGAAACGCTTACGCCAATAAAAGGGGGTTTGGGGAGATGCTAGCATCGCAGAGACGGTCCTACATACGCTAGGGTTCTCGACCATCAAGTATATTTAAAGACACATTCGTGAAGTAGCCCTTATTTATAGCTCAGAGTAAGTACTCTGCACATGATTAAATTAATGCTGCTTCGCCCTGTAGTGCTGCGAAGATCAAAGGAACTGTTAAGCTCGGCAGCCTTCTTTGCCTCTCTTCGGGTTTATCTTTCTTTCCTCCTTTCTTCATTTGCTTTCCTCCCGCCTTTCCTGTGTCTTTTCTATTTATTGCTATTTTACTTCCTACGTTCTTTGTTTTTTTGTCTTTTTTGTATTTCTAACTGGCTTCCTGTTTTTTTTTTCACCTTTTATAGGTAATCTGTGTTGACGTATTCCTCTAACCACAGCAGAAAATAAATATGTTTAAGGGCCGGTTTTCCTCTTTAGCCACAGTATACTTAGAACTAACAAATAATTATATCAGTAATGTATAGATATATTATTAGAATCAGTTGTAATGTAATTGTGAAGAAAGAAAAGCAGGCGAAAAGATAACTTGCCAGCAACAGCGACAAAGCTTGTGAGCTTAGAATAACGCATTCAATGCCATTCAGCAATGGTGATGGTTGTCCCTACATTCACTTTATAGGGTATGTATGTGTATTTAAACGTTCAAGCCTCAGTCAGCGCCACCTGCTGCCATTACGGCAAGTGTAGAGTACTCTTTTTTGTCTGGTGGCGTCACATAGCCCATTACAACAATAGGCAAGCAATTATGAGCATAAGAAAAGTACATGCTCATAATAGAAACTTACATGTGTATTTTTTTGCCCTTTTTGTAGAAACAAGATGAAGTACATAACCTTCGCCATCATACTCTTTGTCATTTTTGGATTGGTGAAATCAGGTATGACTCCCATAAAATTTATTTAGCAATAATATAAGCTGTTTTTTTTTCCACGCTCACCAAAAATTTTTCAGTGAGCGTGGCGAAGTATAGTTAGAATGATCAATATTGCTTGAGCATGCCTCAATTTTATTCTGTATGTCGCGAATAAAGAAATATAAATAATTCTTAAAGCATAAAATATACGCACAGTGCTCCTCTGGTGAACACAAATACATTAAGCCTAATGTATTTACATATATTAGGCAACTTCTGCGTTCAGATTACTTTACGCGCTAGTTTTATGCCCGACCAACAAGATCGGTTTTTATATTCAGCGCAGCAAAACACAAGAGTTTACTCGTCATAACAGTGCTGGTAGGATTTACTAGCAATAAACAAGCAGCCTATTATAAATTGATAAGTAGTCAATTTCATTATCGCCATCAGCACTCAGCAAGAATAAGAATAAGACACACTAAAGGAGAGCTCTTTAAAATATTTGTGAACGAGCATTTTCATGACTCCACTGCAGGGAATGCAAACTTAGAAAAACGTGTAATCACCTCAATACAAAACGGGGTCGCCCAAAGGTAACCTATGCAGAAAATGAGGTCAGTGTTTTTTAACATAAGCTATCAGTGTGCGTCAGAGAGAAAACAGTTGTTCAGCTAATTTTCATTTCACGTATGAACAAATTTAACGCTGTTGGTTTGGGCACTGTCAGTGCATCGCATATATGATTACTTCTCTCGTGTGTACGAAAATTTTCTAGAAACGTATATCCTTTGACCTCTATGTACTTCCTTTTTTTGCCTAGATGATCCTCCATGCCCCCAACTTGATTGTGAGAGGGTATCGACGGTCGGTTGCTTTATACACAACCAGAGATGCCAGTGTTTCTGCGGTAAGTCAGCACCACCTAATCATGTAGCCATGGTAGTATAGCGTCAACTGTCTTTATCTGCTAGTTGAAAATTCGTGTGTTTGGTCCAGGGTGCCGTTATTGCCTTTCGAATGGGCTGAGAGGGCAAATACTAGTGGTGAACATTAGAGAATGCAAGGTAGTTGAAATTTCCGGAGCGCTCTGACGTGTGGTGGCCCTCATAATCACGTCGTATTTTGAAGCAAAAATTTTTACTATTATTATAATTGCTGAATTTGGTACTATGCTGGCGTACAGAATGTGTCATTTACTAGAATAAATTAGTGGTGCAGCCCATGAGTGCCACATGTTTCGCTGTAGCTCGTGAGTGCCAACTTTCCGCCACGTTGCACTGAAAACGAACGGCACTTCACCAGATAAGCCTGCCGGCCCCCACTTAATATCAAGAAGATAACCCTGCCCCCTCTATGCCCTCAAAAGACGAACTATTCTGCCTAAATCCGTGAAAAAAATAGACAAAGAAACAAAATGGCAGTTAGAAAGTGTCCAAACAAGTGTTGCATCAGTCAAGAACCACAATGTGTCGATTTCCCGTCGCTATGCACACTGATGTAGGACAAACATATGCTGCCGTCAAGTAGCATGCTCGTGTAGTCTAGTCCCGGTGCTTGACATAGGAATCGCGCATGGGTTATTCAAAAATATTGAGTACTTTTATACTTCGCATGTTTATGCCTACGTTATTATAAAGCAATTTGGCATACCTTGGAAATGTGTTCTTGTTCACGTCCTTCATTAGCCTCTCTTATTTTTTGCAGTCGAGGAGGAAGACGCATGTGAATATATTGTTCGCAAAAACGTGATGGCATGTCGTCCTGAGCAGATTTTGCATTGCATATCTGATAATAATGCGTGCAAATGTCGCTGCGGTAAGTTTATGTTTTGGTATTGCAAGTATGTTCAAACTTTTTAATAAATTGCGTGGTATAGGCGTGAGCAGCAGTACATTCTAGTTGTGCACAGATCTGCGATATAGATGAGTGCATTTGCCAGTGCACGTGTCGTTGACCTTGGAATGCCATCTCTTAAACTTCTTTGAATGCATGGATGGCATACCGCGATGCACGTTGACATAGTGTCACTGAGTGCACCTATGCTATAAGCATGAAAGCTCATATTGACATTCTCCCGAATACGTGGATAATAGTTGTATCAGTTATCTGCCATTCCCTTTTGCCATTCGCTTACAAAAATTGTGTTTCCAGATCCTAGCAATACGATACCTTCTCAGCGGAATAATGCAATCACAAGCCATGTTGATTAAAGTCGAGTTCGCGTTGCTGCTCTCGTTTTCACATGGTGGCTTCTACGACACAAATACGCAACTTATTCGACTGTGCATGCCCCGAACTATATTCAAGAAAGGCAAAAATCAGAACTGCTTATACTGTAAAGCGTGCTTTCTCAGTGTATTTTACATCACAGGGTTTCATAAGATGGATGACACGTTTCTGTTAACTAATTCTCGACAAAATGTTTATAAGTAGATGAAGTCAACTTCGAGCTTTGTTACGTTTGTAAGACAACTGAGGTCACTCAAAATGACATACCATATGCATACATTAGATTCAAGGATTTTCGTGCTCACTACCATAGACTAGTGTAATTGTTGCTAGTAAAAGCAAGCTTGTCACACAAGTATTTTGTTGCCAGCACTTTCTCAGTCTCTAGTGCTTCATATCATATTCACAATGAGATCATTAAAACATGAAATGATTTTCAGCTATATCCATTTGCTATTAACTTGCATGTGTGACACACTGTGGGGATTAAGCAGAAACTGAGTGGGGATGCAAATCACGTTGGTGCTCATTATATTTCGAATCGGAGTATGACATTTGCTTACATTCAAAATGCAAAAGAATCCTTCTACTTTTCTTTACTGGCAGGTTACAACAGCCAATTCGCTAGAACTATTTCGTTGACTCCCAAGACACAAACCTTCATTTCCCACACGGGCTGGAAGTACATTATTATGCGTCGACTGACAGTTTTTCTGCTTCTATTTTTCTGAATTTTACCGTGTGTACCCTTAATAGGTGGAATGGGCCTTTCAGCAAAGCTATTAATTTTTGTTTGAGCTACCGAGTATTTAGTCTTGATGCCCGAGCACTTTACTCGAAAGAGCTGCTTGAAAAAACTTCATGCAATATATGGTATAATGTTCTCAGAGTGACGTTGTTCTCTTTTGTGTGTCAGCATTCAAACCTTTGTCCCTATTTCTTCTTCCGCAGTTCAAAAGTCATGAGGAGAAAGCAATCAAGAGATACATCAAATATATCCATCGATGAAGGCCTACATTTTTTATGTAATACTGAATAAAACATTGAATATTGTCTGAAATGGAAGAAAAACGCCTCCACATTTTTGTCAATATCTCGCTAATAAGCGGTGATAAGGCCACGCACTGCTGTATCTGTTGCCTTTTTGACGTATGAAATGTCGGTATATTTTTTATAAAGGAAATCATTAGCCCGTGGCTATATTTGATTATTTTTGTAGGCTATCTTCCCCCACAAAAATTGATACACGTGTCAACACTGCTCGGCACTGGCTGCGCAAAAAAATTGAAACATTTCGTCATCAATTAAAAGAGTACTGATATGATTTTGATGCACCGCGAAAGGGACATCCTTGGTTTAAATTATCACAATTGTGATAATTGAAAATCGAATTTTATGAAGTGATCCATAGCTGTAGTGTGAAGCAGGTTCTTCGTTACATGCCCAACATAATGTCCAGCTAAAATTAACAGTGGATCTGTTTTTGCCAACCGTCGGTTGTGACTTTTCAACAGAAAATTACTATGAGGAAGTTGCACGCGAATCGGTCCTAGAACATGTTCGTAGAATTGTGCGGCGTGCGAGTACAAGGAATGAGGAAGGGAGGAAGGAAATGAGAAATACAGAAATGAAAATAAAAAAAAAGGGGCCCTCGTATTCGCGTGCTTCCCTGCAAAGGACGTCGAAATATGATGGTTTTCTGCCCGGAAGCACTGCGGTAGCATATACAGTCAATCTACGCTGCGCGAAATACGGGCGCCGTCTAGCAGTAATGTAGAAGAAGAAAAGAGAGCATTTTAAAACGAAGAACAACTGTTAAGTGGCAGCACCGTGTCATTTTAGTGATGCTAAAGAAACGCCCGCCTTTTCGTTTATAGTATCGCTTGTAAGTGCAGCGCAATAAACAATACGATGTTTAGAATGACGTATCTAGAATTTATCTAAACAAGGATACATACTGCCTAACACTTGTGTGTTGATGCTGTGCCCAAACATTCGCAATTTTTGATTTTTCATTTATAACGTTCACTATCGAGAACGCAGCCAGGCGATCAATATTAGTGGGCGTTCAGCAAGGAATAGAAGTTTTGCTTGGGTGGATGAATCAATTGAGAGACATACAAGCACGCCAACATTTTTGTGTTAAAGTATACCAAAAAAGACTGTCGTGTTGAAAAGAGAGCAAGAAAGAAATGGAAAAATTGCTGGTGGAAACACTTCTTGGTGGCGTGGATCTCATAGCCGCGTATCAAGCATACGATAACTAGCGTTGGAAGCAGTCGGATATTCAGGCACACTAGTAAACAATAGCATAGGCTTTTCTAGAAAGCGTACAAAGTTGGTGGGAAGTAATAGAAAGGGTAAGCAGGGGACATGTAAGAGTGAGGAATGGGGAAAAAAAGGATGGAGAAGAAACAGCATAGCATAGAAAGAACGAACAAGATAGAAAGGGATGAAACACAGACGGAGACCAGAAGAGCGATAGTGAAATTACCAAATATAAAGAAATAGAGAGGAACACATAAAGTAAAAAATACCTTACTTCGCTTTTCTCCTTCTGATTTGCTCAAAAAGCTTGTGGGGGTAATTCATTGGGAGCAAGGTCTCCTCGAAAGCATACGTAACGTTGTTCACGTATGCATATTAAAAGAGGTTTATTATTATCTGTGAATTAGAATACCTATTGCATGGCTTCGCCAAACCCTTATTGACAGTACAATGTCAATGCAATTGATAAAGCCGGTACGTGTCATCGTTGGTTTGCCACTTCTCTTGTGGGGAGAAGGTGCTACCAAAAACAAATAAATATTTCGGCAGTGGTTCCATTATTGAACCTATTTTTTTTTATAAACTATGTCGGTCGATTCGAGCAAAAATTTTAAGACAAACTATACATTTACAATCTACTTGCATACATGAAAGTTGAGAAGCTTTTTTTTTACATCTCTATACAGCCTGCGGACCAGACCCTTTCATCAGAACGTAAATGGTTCCATGCGATATGAAAGGAGGAAGGGCAAATGGTTTTGCCGGTGCTACTAATGGTACTCTATGCGATATAAACTTTCGAACTATATAATTGTTCACTAAAAATAATCGAAACGCGAAACGTCGAAAGTCGCACCTCATTTTATTTTTTTGACAGGTTTCTTGTTTAAAATTTATAAGAACATGCACTACAACCGCCCATAAGTTGAGCAGTACATGAGAGTGCCTTAAAATTTAAAGCTATCTGCTAAAATATTTAATGTGAATTATGAAACAAGCTTCCCGTGGGTTTATACATTTGATGACCAGAGGCAACTCATAGCAAATTGATAAAGATGGCTTCCACAACGGTGACTGACATACGTGAAGGTTGATCTATTTTAAGTAAACCGGTGCTATACACGGGCCGTCACTATCCATATGTTGCGCTATACAACCATTACGTGGGCGTCCGACTCCGCTGCTTCGAGGAACGCAGTGAAATAATGCCTGTTGATACGTGTTCAGTGGACATGTTTAGTTGCGGCTGAAACGACAGGCACATGCCAGTTTAAACCGAGCAAGGTTGAAGAAACGTACGCTAAATTATTAGATATAAAAAAAGGTGAACACCGGGTGTAACAAAAGACAACAATATCACTAGCGGATCTGGTTTCCGTAAGGCCGCTTGTCGAAACGTCAGCTCAAGCGACGCCCCACGGTCGCCAATTTCGCGTATTTTCTTCCACCCAACGTGTGCTTTCCTTTGAACTAAATTTTAGGTAATGCAAAGCATGCATGCAAGTTACAGCCAACAGCACTATTGTTAACATTTTATAACAATATTTTGTCTGAGTTTAAACATTGAGGATTAAACACTTTACTTCTCCTATGGTACTCAGTTTGCTGAAACCTACATAACATTTTATGGTATGAAACGTCTAGTGCTCGCGCGAGGCGCCAGAATATGTTACGTATGAAACTATTCTGCTCCCCGAGTTCTACTCCTTAGAATAATAATTGAGTGAATGAGCGATGTCGTTTAGTAGCCTACCAGTCAACTGTAGCTGTTGAATCATCGTAACCACTTCTGTAACATAGCTGACAGGAAGTAGCACTTTTCACCCAATAAAGAACGGTTTGACATCGCCGACTGACGCCATCTGTTCTACATGACAGCCATAGACAGCTTCACTGGTCATGCAGCCACGTTTCCCGTAGCGAATCACCTAAGTAGCTCAAGGACAGGTCGCCGTGCTTTGTGTAGACAAAGGAAGATAAATGAAAAGCCACAAAATATCTAGAACAACAATAACGCTAACACACAGTAACACATTCAATCTTTTATGAATAATTAACTAATTATTAATTGATTGATTTATATGTGGTGTTTAACGTCCCAAAACCACCATATGGTTGTGAGAGACGTCGTAGTAGGGCGCTCTGAAAATTTCGACCACTTGAGGTTCTTTAACGTGCACCCAAATCTGAGCACCCGGGCGTATAGCATTTTCGCCTCCCTCGAAAATGCAGCCGCCGCAGCGGGGACTTGATCCCGTGACCTGCGGGTCAGCAGCCGAGTACCTTAGCCAATAGGCCACCGCGGCGGGGCAAACCAAACAAAAAAAAAGCCAGAAACACGAGAAACCCCGATTGCTTTCAGTGTCGTCACAGTATACAGTCTACTGTAATATCAGTTGATGATATGCATAAGTGGAACAAGTGCTTGCTAGATCTTCCTTTGTACCATTGTACCTGTTATTATCGAACCAGTCTGCTTCAGCTCTACGAAAGGAGGAAATCCTCTCCCAATAATCTCCATATCTCTGTGTTTGTATGAGCCGATTCCTCTTTGCACCTCTGGAGTACTACATTTCTTTTGTGGTAGATGTCCAATGTAACTGACTTTCGCTCTTAAACGGACACTGTTTTTTTTTGCTCCGAAAAGCGTCATCTAAACGAAACAAAATAATGGTTAGAACATTAGAATGTATGACGTGTAGACCTACTCTGAAAACGAACGCGCGATGGTCTGGCAGATCATGATATTTGATTGAGGCACGGGCATTGACCAACGTTTATGTCTCCTAACTCGTGCCTGTGCCGATGGCACTACTGTCTACAAAAAATTCATGCGAAACAAACTCTGATGTATCAACCTTAAGTCGATAAATTAAGGTCGCATCGCCACAGAGTTAGAGTTGCGCAAACAAAAAAAAAGCTTTCCCAGCCACACAAATAACCTAAAGCTGGTTGCGAAAATCCAGAGAGCAGACCGTAATTAAGGCATCGTCGACTAACAGCACTTTTTTCAGCCATCTTCCAAAATAAAGTGTTAGTGCTATATTTGTTTTATTGTATTGATGACAACTTAAGAACATATCGCTCCACACGTATGTTTAAATTATATCAGACCTAAAGCTTCAACGTGGTCAAAGGAGGCTTGCCGTCAAATACAACAGGGTAGGGTCACAGTGTTTTTTTTTCTTACTTGTAGCCACATGACGTCCGATTAAAAAAACGGTCGAAAAGTGAACTTACAGAACTATATCTTGTATCTTTTTTGCGGCGAATAATAATTCGTATACCTATCATAACTATGAACTATAAAAAAAACTACAAGAGTGAAGCATTTTTGTGCGATAAGATACTCCATGCAGATATCGCCCAACCTTTTCTCTGCACGCATATACATGATCAATATGTTTATAGAAAAGTAAGAATGTAGTTCGCAATACGAAGCCGTCTGGCGCAAGCCCTAAACAGGGCATAGGCTCGAACAGTTCAACAATTCAGTAAAATGATCCCGATTCAATATGGGAACTGAAAGCAGGCAGTGCGAAAATAAAAATATTTACATTGACCGTCTGCGTCAGTAACAAGATCTTCCGATGAAACTCAAGCTGCACCCTGCCCATGTGAAAGGTGTTTGTTTTGTACCGTTTCACGAGTCAAGCCTCTCGTATATATCTTGCACGTCAAACCAGTTATGAAACTATCTTCTTCGAGATAAACCCTGATTCCAGGTCTACATCGCAAAGCCAACTTTCTTCTAGTATATGTAAGTTCTTCTTACTTTGGGCTCATTAAATTATTTTGTCGCACCAATTGGAGGCATATTCTTTGCACTGACATTACTAGTACGCAATCTGCATTGAAAATGTGTTTTGTATTGGAACTCAGCAGTTGTTTTTAGTCTGCCTTATTATTGTTTTGTCGTGAATTCCACCATAAATAAAGTTACACCGCAAAACACAGTTGCAAGTATTTTAGCACACATTGATGGGCTCCATTTCTATGTGGTGCATCTTACAAAACGTAGAGCCGTGTTGATCAAGCATGAGTAAGCAATAATGCCCCACGGACAATTGGACACTCTCCAATGCTTGCTTGATATTTTAGTGTTTTAGAACAGTGTTCAAGTAGCGGAAACATCGGCTGTGGATGACTGTCAGTCATGCTTCCATTTATTTCTAAAAAGGATCAACGGCCGATATTATCTGCGGAGTTATTATCTTTTCGCATCCTTAAAAATAACTCTGCTTAACAATTGCTCAATAAGCGCTGTCACATATGGGAATACCAGTGTGGTCACACCCTTTAACTAGGAGGAAATGATCGTATGTGTGAAAGGATAAGAGAATGGAAGCGACTACTGAATGGCAATTGGACATCATGCTCGTCGCATGTCAATGTAAGCTGGCTTTTACAGAATATGCTACCAAACAAATATAACTAACTAAATGTAGGGTGTCCTATATGCACATCTAAATTCTTTCTTTTGCAGAAGTGTCGTGATGAAGATGCTTGTTGGCGCCCTGGTGTGTGCGTATCTGGCACTGGCAAATTCTCGTATGATATTATCGTTCCTGAAGGCCTTTACCTAATAATTTGTTATCGAGTCTCGCTTATAATCAAATGTGTATAAAGTAGTCTATTCATGGCAAATAATATTGACGAACAATATCTTCGAGGAAATATTCAAGAATATCTTTATTACGAAATGCGAATTTTTCAAGAAAAAGCACGAAACACGCCGCAATAAAAAGGAAGAAACGGAAAAAAAATTCGGCCGATTCAACGTAACTGGGATTCAACAACATGGGAAGCTTGCAGAGGGAAGGTGACTGTGTTCAAATTTTTTCGTTCAGCGACACGTCATAAAATGACACTATATATTTATATATATACAATTGATGTTTATAAAGCTAATTGTTTACACTTGCGCAAAGATGTCAACTGAAATATGCGTATCAGCGAAACGAGAAGCTGATATGAAACGCTGATGCTGGCCCTGGACACTGCTATAATAATCGACTTCACCACGTGACACCTCACCACAATTGACGTTAGCCTGATATGACGGCTATGTCAAACATATGTAATGTTTATGAAATTGGGTACGCAGTACTGCAACCACTATGACGTTGCAGGAAGATTACCGTCCATTTGATATGTAGTTTCGAGACCTGTCATAGCTGTGTGGTAGAATGCTTGACTGCCACGCAGAATACTTGGGGTCGATTCCTGCTGGGACCCGGAAGTTCATTTTTTGCATTCGTTTGGGTTTCAGCGTTGCCAATGTCTTCAACGTTCAGAGTTGCCAATGGCTTTTCTTAACACTGACATTTATTCTATACTTTAGTTAGGTCGACGCTACCGATGTCGGGTATTGTTTAACGCTGACGCGTTGGAATTGCCCATGCATGTTCTCGTCTTTCCTGGGTAGACACTAAGTATCAATCATCTGTGGCGCATACCCGCATACCAGCGACACATACCCGCCCGTGTGTATATGGCACTGTGTGACGGGAAGTGTTTGACGCTGCACTCGACGGGATTGTGACATTATTTAGGTCTTGACCAGCGCATCATATTCGTCAAACCATTTTACCCTCCCATGCTAATTTTGGTTCACGCCAAGTTTAGAGGGTGAAATATGAGAGCACCCAAACGTGAGCGGCTAGATAGATAGATAGATAGATAGATAGATAGATAGATAGATAGATAGATAGATAGATAGATAGATAGATAGATAGATAGATAGATAGATAGATAGATAGACAGATAGATAGATAGATAGATAGATACGCTCAAAGTCGCAGAAGTTAATTAGGAATGCTTCGCATTTAAAAAGATATTGCATCGATATTAAGGAGAAAGCATTGGGTAAACCAATTTTATCATAAAATAACGCCTGAAGCAACACATGATCGTCATCCTGACAAAAAGTAAAGTTCTATGGTACGTTCAGGATTATCCAAGAATGTGAAGATGAAAGAATAATTGGCCACGTGGTGATGTAAAACGAAGCTAAAGCATCAAGTTAGCTTGGCAGGACCATGACCACAAGACCACTGCAAAGACGGGCAGTGGAAGTACTAACCTGCTTTCTGTATTCTTGTACTTGAGCGAAGCAACAATGTTTATGTTGACGCAATATACACGCAGTTCGCGCCTAATTGTTTTGTTCGGCTAATTTAAGTTTCTCAGTTTGCAACAGCATCAATGCAGCTCACTCGAAACTGTGTGGCTGTGTTTGCTCCTTAAAGTTGAGGAAGTGCGTGCGATTCAGACCGAATATCTGAAGAACTGGCCTGGTCCAATTTGCAGTGAAATCCCGCACTGCGCAGATGGCGTTGACGAGCCGCTTGTAGCTTAAGACATGTTCATAACAGATGGTGCAGCACTGGTGCAGGACAAAATAAGAAACTTGAGGTTGTTTCGGTGTAATTCCGACTTAGCGCGGATTGAAGGCGTCACAGCCACAGTCGGATAAGCACTTCGCAGCGATGTTTCTTCTTTGCGAGTTAGCCTAATCAGCAGATCACCACGTCAAATGAACAAAAAAATTGTAGGGCAAAGCAACAAACGTATCGTCACTGCATTGCTTCGCACTGTTTACACCACCAAGTTTTTCCTTCATAAGCCTTTTATATTAAGAAATTGGGTATATTGCTATAACACCGACTGGTTCGCTTTGCATTTCAAACATGTTAGCGGAATTTTGGTACTCAGCTATTGTTGAATGTCTATTGTTTTGATATTCAGAAGATCCCGAGTGTCCTCTTATCAACTGTGTATCAGGATGGAACGCTGGATGCTTGATCACTAAAGACCAATGTCAGTGCTTCTGTGGTGAGTACATGGTACGTTTATCTCCATTGCGGTGTGAAGTATACATCCTGACTTCACTAAAGTGAACTTTCTACGCATTCGCCGATGATATTGTCCGCATTATTGCATTACCGCACTAAGACCATTGTACCTGCAACGCAAGTTTTTTTGAGTGCTTGTTCCACAGATGCACTATTTATGAAAATAGGAAAGTAGGTGTTCCAATCAAGACTTTTTTCGGACCGCCATTCCAAGTGTAGGTACATTATAGAAGCCACAATTTCACTACAAGAACGAAGGAATGAATGCGACGGACCAGTGGTTATCCAGTCTACGCGCGTCGCACCCGGCCAGGTCTATTTCTTATTCTTGAGTTTAAGTATGATGTTCTTTAACCCCGGTTTGCTCCCTGATCTACAGTACTCTTATTGTCTCTTCAGGTTACCGCTATCATTTTCAGCCCTCATATTTTAACTTATATGTGTACGAAGCTCTTCTTTTTTTTTGGCTTTCTTGCATGAATGTATAGGTCACTGTATAATCTCGCTGTCACTTTTTCGAGCAGCACCTTTTTTGTGTGTTGCAGTGGAAAAAGAAAGTCCTTGTGAATTTATCGCTGAGAACTTTCAAAGCAGCTGCACACCTGACCAATTTATTGATTGCAACCCAGATGTCTCTCCTTGCATGTGTCGTTGCAGTAAGTCGAATAACAACGCACTGATTTTTAATTCGAATCCTACAAGAGCCCATGAGTTCGTTCAAACTACACATGGTAATGACAGTGATATAAAAGAGTAGAGTGTGTACTGCTAAAATTGAGCTTTTATTGCTGGTGAAGATTAGCGATATACAAGAGGTAATAAAGAACCCATTTATAAGGCTGCCTACTTCATAACACACTCCACCCCAATCATAACCGGGTTTTGGCGTGTTTTGTTCCGTGTCTCAAATTTAACTAAAATGAACAGCAACTAAACCAAAATAATAAGAATAGTAAATACTGTGAATATAATACACTTTAGCGTGTAGGCGCACTTTCGATCGAAAATTTCAAACTTCAAGTCTACTGACCATTTTTACACCAGCCCATGGACATCAGAATGCTGTGCGGCAGCCGTATGAATTACATTAAATACGGTCGCGTCACTTGCACAAATTAGTGCAAGGCTGGGCCAACAAAAGAGCTGATGGGCACCTAGCAAGTTTATGAAGTTGCTGATTTTTGTCTGGGACACACGCCAATCTCGGCCCTAGCGTTCTTGTAGTAAAAAGAAAATTGATCTAGTTGAAATCAAGCGCGACAATGAAGGTCCCTAGAGCATTTATAAAATGAAGTTTTATATGTTTAGGACTAACCCACTTTATATCTTCGGGGAATAGTAAATACACTCAAAGGAATTCAGGATAAGCACGAAACATATACAGTTACTTAAGAAATGGCTCAGAATGAACACAATATGAGTAATCAAGGTTTGACTTCGTAGACGTTCTTTACGCCCCATGCCAAAGGAATGCAAATATTTCAGTGACGTAGAACTTTCTGTATCTCGTCACTTCAAAGACGCAGCCACAGCTACTGTCTAAGCTGGCCAGTGCAACTGGCAAAGAGACGATTTTGTGATATTGGCAAATTGGCATAAAATCTATTAAAGTCTGCATGAACTTCTGCAGCAGCGCTGCAATACATCACTCGAAAATCAGAATTCAAAAACACTACAAAGCCAGTATGAACTTCTGCAGCAGTGCTGCACTATTTCACTCAATCATGGGCATAGAAATACAGTACATGAATCATTTTAAAACCAAGTCACTCAGTTGTACTTTTTAGCTCATGTTTTCTACAATCTTATAAAGACAATGCTTTCGAACCATGAACTGCAATAGTTTACCGGGGTGGGGGGAGCACGACATTGATGAAGACCTGTCTTATTGACTCGTAGGATTTACCTTTGCCAAACACTTACGACCAGAAAACATAGTCATGTGTTAGCAGTGCCACGTAGTACTTAAGCAGTTTTACCTTTAGGTAACACGTGTTTTGAACATTTATTGTTCGTCCTGGGTCCGATAAGTAGTGAGGCAGATATGAAATTTAGTATCAAAAAAACATCCTGCCTGCAGAAAACTAGAACCACAAGTCTCGTCTCTATTTTCATAGTCTACTCAGCATATTGTCTTAAAAATTCATTTTTCTTTCTTTACAGCTCTCAGGTAGTACCCGCACCAATGTCGGACCTTTTGATCCAGCCCCTTTACTTTGGTTTGTTCATTTGACGTTAAAACTGAAATGTGTAGAAGTTCGCATTAGAAAAATAAATTTTGTGGAACAAACAACTTGTTTTCTTTGTTACTGGCAATAAATACAGTATTTAGAGACTTCGTTAAAATATTATACTGGTAGATATTCAAACTAATTTACGCAAGTACGAGCTTTGCTCCTCACTCCACTAAACTAAGCAATTGTTTTTGGCTTTCGAAATAGAGGAGACGTTATGGCTTTTAATACTACACTAGTATAATACGTGAACATGACATATAGTACAATTAGAGAGACCAGATCTTTACTAAAACTTACTCATTTTGGCGGCGTTTATTTACCGTGCACACGCTGGTAAGTAAAGAGAAGGATACTGTGATTAAAATATTCTAGAGGATACCAAGAAAGAATACGAAAAAGCATGAAATGTGCAAATCAAACTGACAACAATATTTACCCTAAAATGTCAGGTAAGTTAAAGTAAATTCAGATGAGTAATAAAATAATGTCTGTCAAACCCATCGCTGTTTTGAAAATAAGACATGCTACTCACCACGTGTAAAATATATTCAGACAGAAGCAGACCACTTGGATCAGCATGCCAAGTTTGTTCATTGACACGAGACCTTGACACTGAAGCCGGTCCCTTCGCCGGCTGTTCTTATTGTTTTATTCGCGCTAGCTGCTCGCACTTCAAGGCACCGGTGTTCATCATCGCAAACGGTTATGACTGCGAGCGCACGGACCTGGTGGCATGGCCTTTGGTAGATGGCAATGATTGCAGTAGAACCTCCGTGATACAGTTATGGCTTGTATGAATTTTGGATGATAGGAATTTTTATGCGCTCTCAGCTATGACCCATTAAGCTGCGATGCGATGCCGGAATGGGCTGTTCAGAACAAATATTCATGTCACCATGCTTGATAGAACGCACACTATCGCACAGGGGCTGCTCCCATTGTCACAAAATACGTGACTATTAAGTGCACAATAACATGGCGCATGCGCGCGACGCCATGTTGTAGCCTCCGAGATTGCGCGCGTGAATTTCAGAGCCCTAAATGCCCCTTCGTGGGCCGTAGCGTTCAGATTATACGAATGAAGCTGGCATCATACTTTTTTTTCAACGCGTTTAAACTCCAGGCAGTTTCTTGTGGGTCGAACATAAGAAAGAAACGAGAACGGGTTCAGGAATACTTTAGGTCATGAGAATGACCTGAACGGGCTTCTTCTCGATGACATAATTTGCGTAAGACAGCAGTCTCTCGCCGGCGCTTTAATTCACGCTAGAAGGTTCCAACTCGACTTGATATCAAGTGATGTCCTCAGCGACCGTGATGATGGCACTGATTTTGATGGCACTGAGGCGTACAATGACGTGATGAGTGAAATCTACCCAGTTCCCGCGGTTACAATGAAATTCGCCCACTTCCCGAAAACGCAGCGAGCGCGCACTGCCGTAGCCGATGACGACAACGGCTCAACCGTCCAGCACTACGCCCATAGAGAAGCATACATAAAGAGCTGACACTCCCGTAGGGCTCTGCGGCCGAGCTACTGCGCTGCTTTCGGCGCCACGTGTGGTTTTCAGACCCGATAACGTCTCAGGCTAAATGAAAAAAAAAATATTTGTATTTCTTTCCAACACTGCGATTTGAACCAGTACCCTCATGTCCCGAAAGCGAGTGTTTTACCACTAGGCTACACACCCATGCTTCGACAAATGGAATACATGTACAGCACATCTAAATCACTTGAATGTGCCCCTTTGTGCAAAAAGAAAAACGGAAATACAAGACTTTCAAGTCATACTTTACTGTTTCCTCTCGTACGACGTTGAATGTCCTCCTGCGAGACATGATGTAGAGCGGATATAGAAAATTGCACAAATTATTCAAATTTCTTTTTTGCAAAAAAGATGATGCTAAACTTGAGTATTTGTCCTCGTGAAGAAGCTATTACATGTCTTAAAACAGAATAAAAGCGAGGATGGGTACGCCATCTGGCGATTGGTCAGACCCTTTCTTGCTGAGCCGTGGAAAGGCTACAGTGGCCACTCTTTATACAGTATATTTCTTTATGCTACGCCCCTCAAACGTCTGCGCAGTCGCAAGCTGCAACCATGCAGGCTGCATCATAGCTGCATCGTGATGCCACGCCCAACAAGATTTCTGCTGTGAAATGGTTTGTCGGCTTTTGCTGTGTCGCGCAGTAAGCGGCGGATGTGGCATAAACAGATAAATGGCAGGAACGGCATCCGGAGAGGCACAGGAGGTCGCATACATTCTCAGCACGTCTTTTCCCTTTTCTGAAGAGGTAGATCACATTCGTATCATTGTAAACTCTGGGAGGAAGGTCACTCATGACCATCTTCAGCAAAACAAGTTTCTCATGGCTTCTGGAAAACGAATAAATCTTTTCTTACAGCTAATATCCCCAAACTATAACTAGGAAGCAACTCACTCATATTTTCTTCTGTTTTATCATGACTCGACGTGTCTGGAGGTGTACAGTGACATACCGAATGACCTCGACCCGATGCCGGATGACTGGACATCATGATGGGCAATACTGGAGGCTTCAGGAGAACAATTGTTGGTTCAGTGTTGGGCACTGAAAGTAGCAGTCGGCAAATTGATTGGGCTTATATCTGGAGAAACTCCTGCGCTCGATGGAAGGTGATTGTGTCCCAACGACTGCTGCGAAATCTTCGGAAGGGGGTGTGGAGCATGTGCGAGAGCGCTATTTGTTTCTATTAGCCCTTCTGATTCTGGTGACGTATAAAAAAAAATCGGAGCTAGTATCTGCATGGGCAACTGTAGAAAATGGGAGAGTAAGGTCCTAGTTCCTAATTGCGTCGAACCAAAGGTGTCAACCCTGGCCACTCTATTGATGGTGCTGAGCTTGGTCTCCGAAGGAATGTAGATTGGTGGGTGGCCGAGATAAGTCGAAAACTCCAACGTTCACGCTAATATTCAGTACGCTATTAACTTTGTCGATATAACTTGACACACATAACGTGAACAGGTAAGAGATTGTAATTAAATACGTTTATATGGGCACGAAGCAATACAAAGCACGGCCTTGGATGGCAGAGGAATATTTAGAGCAATAGAATTCAGAAGACCTAAATAGAAAGAACCGAATAACCTCGAGCAAGACAGGGCGTGTTGGTGATGATTGCATTTGGTCTTCGTGTTGCAGTGGATGTAACGAAGCCTTATGCGAAGAAGCAGAAAGATGAGGGAGTTGGAAGCGTTTGTGCTGTGTCGTTCTAGTCTTTTGACACCATCGTGCTCGTTCATTTTTTCAAGTGTGATAATGATGATAAGAGGCCGAATTTATAGGCACTGAAAAAGTGTTTTTTTTAGACGTTCAATTTGCCCCGCCGCGGTGGTCCAGTGGCTAAGGTACTCGGCTGCTGACCCGCAGGGCGCGGGTTCGAATCCCGGCTGCGGCGGCTGCATTTCCGATGGAGGCGGAAATGTTGTAGGCCAGTGTGCTCAGATTTGGGTGCACGTTAAAGAACCCCAGGTGGTCTAAATTTCCGGAGCCCTCCACTACGGCGTCTCTCATAATCATATAGTGGTTTTGGGACGTTAAACCTCACATATCAATCAATAGACGTTCAAGTTAGAGAGGCAAACCACGTTTCAGGTTTACGAAGTCATGAAGTTGCCACAATAATGTTTTACATAAATGAAAATACTTTTGAAATAATGACAAGCACGACGTGTATCGACAACAGGAAAGTGATATGACATGGCGGCTTCGCACTAGTAGTGACAAGCCTGAAGGAAGAGCGTAGTTGGGTGGCCTTCCTTGTTTGTGTCTTTCTTTTTGTTTATTTCTGGTTGTTCTGTTCGTTTTATGTACCTTTTACTTTTTATTTGCTTCTATCTATGCTTTGTCAATTTTCATATAGTCATTTATATTTTTTATCTCTCGCTGCTTCCTTTTAGGGGCGAAGCTCCTTATGGCGTGGCTTGTGCGTCCCTTGTAGTACGTAACCACTAGTGGCACATACCCGAAATAGGTATAACATTTGACCTCCAAGGTGGCGCCGGTGATATATTTCTTCTGTGCGTTGTTCAACAATAAAAATAGTGCTCAATGTACATGCCAATGGCTGCTAATGGGGAATGAGAGACAGGAGCATTCGGCTTTTAGTCAACGCGCACGCTGCAATCCCCATTAGCAGCGATTGGCATGTACATTGAGCACTATCGGACAAGATAGGGTTGCTACATTACACTCGCTGGGTGTAACCTCCTTAGTTTTAGAAAGGTTTAGCGAGCGTTGAGCTGCAGGGCCATGAATACAATGAACTAGTATATATCATGAATGAATTCGAGGTGGTTAAAGGGGGGAAGCAGATACGAAGCACGAGCCGTAAGAAATTAAAAGCTGAGTCCTCCTGTCTCTCTATATATATATATATATATATATATATATATATATATATATATATATATATATATATATATATATATATATATATATATATATATATATATATATATATATATATATATATATATATATATATATATATATATATATATATATATATATATATATATATATATATATATATATATATATATATATATATATATATATATATATATATATATATATATATATATATATATATATATATATATATATATATATATATATATATATATATATATATATATATATATATATATATATATATATATATATATATATATATATATATATATATATATATATATATATATATATATATATATATATATATATATATATATATATATATATATATATATATATATATATATATATATATATATATATATATATATATATATATATATATATATATATATATATATATATATATATATATATATATATATATATATATATATATATATATATATATATATATATATATATATATATATATATATATATATATATATATATATATATATATATATAT